AGCCGACGGGCCCGGCGGAGGAGGATGGCGGCCCCACTCGTCTCCGGGAGCGCGACCAGCATGCCGAGGAGCACCGGCGCCGACGCCCACACGCTCTCGTACAGCGACCAGCGCCAGCCGCGCGCCGGCACGGAGAAGCCCGACAGCAGCGGGCCCAGCGCCGGGCCAAAGTAGGCCGACGAGATCCACGCCACCATGGCGTAGGGCAGCGCCGTCATCGAGTACATGTCGCCGAGGGACGCGCCGCCCGAGGCCAGGCACGGCGACCCGAAGAAGCCCTGCAGGAAGCGCAGCACCATCAGCCCGGCGAAGCTGCGCGCCAGGGCGGTGGGGATGGACAGCACCACGAAGAGGATCATGGTGGCCGCGTAGACGGGGTTCCTGCCGATGCGGGGGATCTCGCTGAGCGGCGAGAAGACGAGCGGCCCGACGCCGTAGCCCAGCACGTACAGCGACAGGCCGAGCGTGGCCTCGAGCTGCGATACGTGGAACCGCTCCATGACGCCCTGCGTCGAGGGCGTGTAGATGGCCGACGACGTGTACACGACAAAGGTGTAGAGGCAGATGATGGCGGCGACGAGGCCGCGCTTCCCGTTGCTCCAGTTCTGCGGGTTCTCGGCGTCGTCGCTGTAGTACCAGTCCACGAGGATGGCGCCGTCCTTTGTGCGCCGGGGGACGACGGGGACCGACTGCACCCTTTCCACGGCGTGCGCCAGCTCGGCCTCGAGGCGGGAGCCCGTAAAGGCGGGCGTTTCGGCGGGCGTCTTGGTGCGGTGCAGGCGCAGGGGCTCGGGGCGCTCTGCCGAGGACCGTGACTGCTGCTGCTGCTGCTGCTGTTTCTCGGCGTCTTGGCCCTCGGGGGTGTCGTCTCCGGCGGTCGAAGCGGACTCGGACGAGGGCTCCGTGGACTCGTCGACGACGGCGTCGGGGTTGTCGAGGAGCTGCTGCCACGGCGAGGGGAGCTTGAAGCCGGCCTTTTCCTCGGGGTACTGGAGGTAGCGGTTGGACGTGGCCCAGCGGATGAGCTGGCCGAGGGGGGCGTCGCGGATGATGTCGGCCATTGTCACGATGTTCTTTTGTGTCGTGGTTTGCCCTGGTGAGAAGCGAGCGTCCAAGTCAAGACACTGCGACAAGACCACGCTTGCTTGATGGAAATAAGACGAGGCAGAATCCAGCACGAGGCCGACGAAGCCTCTCCTCTTATACCCATCATGTCGAGTAATCGACTCCTGGCAATAAGACGGCATAACACGTTTGGTAATCCATAGCTCCGGAACGCTCCACGGCGGCAGATTCACGGCCCTGTGGCTTCATGACCCAACGACTAAAGGTTTCTCTCCTTAGCAATGCCGCTTCGAGCCCTTTCCAAACACGGCTTACAAGCGCGGATCTAAGCTGTCGGACTTAGAAAGAAAAAGAAAAGAGGTGGGCAAGGGCTGTGTGGAGAGCGTCTGTGTGGATCGAGGCGCCCAATGGGCTGGATTCAGATGAATGTATTTGGGCTGGAGATTACCAAGCGGCCGTGTGACGCCATCTGTCAAGGCATGGGATCTGAATATCAATCTGCATGTGAACGGGCAGACGGAGCGCCGCCCGCCAGAACGTGGTCGAATCTCACTACTAATCAGATCGCACGCAATCTCGCCATCGTCCTGCTACTACGTACTGTGCTTATTACCAACTCTTCTCCAGCCCAGTCTAGCGTCGAAAAGAAAAAAAAAAGAGAGAGAAAAAAAGTGGCTGACTGACCCACCGATTCCGCGGTGTTGCTTTCTAATCTTGTGGACAGGCTGAAGCCACTTTTGCACAATAACGGCATGACCCTTGGAAAACCAACACGGCATGGACATATGTACATAGGCTATTCGCGAAACTCGGCAATATTCATGTAGAGCGTGCCTCTTGACGTCCCCGGTAGCCTATAGTTGTCAGACGGTTGGTCTAATTCGACAAACCCACATCTGCTTAAATCCGATCTCAGTCCGATCGCAAAGTGAGAACGAGACCTGAATGAGCCATCACGCGGCGTGCTCGACGGGCCTGGTGGGTTCGGAGGAATAAAGTTGGCGTTAAGCATTATTCCGACGTGGCTTGCCTCGGGCCCAGCCCATCATCTCTCATGGATTCTGTGAACAACGGGATGCTGCGCCCGCGATACCCGAGTGACGAATCCTAATCCTGTGAAGCCAAAACCATTGGAGGAACCAGGCGGTTACTCTACTATTATACATACATACATGGCTGTGGAAACCGACAAGTTTCACGCTACACTCCCTGCCAGCTTCCATCATACATCACACCTTCAACTCAGACGCCCTCTTCGTCATTCTCATCTGCCGGAGCAGTCTCTCGACGAGAGCCCCCGTTTCTTCATCCTTTCTCAACTCATCCACTACACCCCATATCCTTCCATCCTCCACCTCGACCGCTTTTGCCACCAGCACCTTCACCCAATCCAGCCGTCTTGTATTGGAGCCGCCCATCGCCACCAGGGCCTGGTTAGCGAAGCGGAACGCCAAGTCTAGCTCGCCGGCCTCTGCACACCTTGTCACAAGAGCGCCGTACACGTGCGAGTCTCGAACGGGGTCGTCATCTTCCGCAATGTGGGCAGTGTAGTCCTTGACGAGGGCACGCGTGGTTTCCTCGTCCGGGCTGTTGATGATGAGCGTTTGCATCATGGTCGAGTTGGCGTGTTCGCCGCAGAGACAAGCCACATCGCGGTAGAGGTCCATGGCCGCCTCGGAGCCCTGCGTCTCGGCAAGGGCCTCGACTACGACGCCCACCATGGCCACGGGGAGTTGCTCATCGTGGGCCACGGCGCGGAGAGCCGCCTCTGCATCACTCATGAGCTTCGGATGTCGTCTAAGCGCCTCGGACACGACCCTTGTGTTCCCCCGGACGATCCGTATGCCGTTCTTCTTCATGATGCACAGGATTCGGAAGGCACCCGTCATGTCGCCAGATGCGGCAAACGCCTCTGCCACTGCTTCGTAGTGATACGCGAGAACCCTCGTCCGCCGTGACATCATGTCCAACGCCTCCGTAGCCAAGGATGCATCGCCGTGTCGTGCCGCCGTTGCCAGGACATTTTCCACAATCCCGTCCGCCGGCTGGAAGAGAGAGCTCCTGACCGCACTGTTCCATGCAAACAGCGTGCCTGGGTAGTGAAACGCCGAGCTGCACACATCTAGCGCGTAGTACAGAATGCTTGAGATGGCCCTGTCCTCGCCTTGTAAGCTCTTTCGCCGGTACAGTAGTGACATCATTTCATCCATGAAACCCAGTTTCCCAAACACCATGACAAAAATATCGAATACCCAGATAGCAATGTGTGCTCCTTGCTCAATCATTTCGGTGAGCCGCGAGTAGGCCAATTCGTACTGCTCGTCGCGTAAAAGACCCAGGACGACGCTCTGCCTCGCGGGGGTGTCGATTGTGAACCAGAATTCCTGCATCGTGTCTAGTATTTCCTGCCGCAACGCATAGTCTGGGTGGTTTGTCAGTGCCGCAAGTGCACTGTGGCACATGGCTGCCGTGGGCTTCATGTTCTGCGAGGCCATGTCGTCGAGGAGCTTGCGGATCCCCTTGACGGATCCCTGGGGGTCGACCATGGCGTCCATCATGCACTCGTATATAAAGGGGCTTGGTGTTTGGTCCCGCGCGGACAGGAGATGCCTGACGAGTCGTATTATTCGGTCGTGACGATCGATGTCCTGACCGTGGAAGCTCCATCCTTGAGCATCTCGCATTGTCACAAGGGCAGCCACAATTTCTTCGACCGACGCCTGCCGCAGTGTTTCTTCGCTTGGCGGTGCCGGCGTCAACAGGCGCTCTTCTCTCGGAACCTCATGCTTGGTCTGTTGAGCAGGGTCTCGCGTCACCATCTGGTTTTGTATACTCGCACTCGCACTCGAAGTTGTGACATGTCTCGCCTGCGCCAACCTCGTACACGCAATAGCTGATGGTGTTCTCGCAGTCGTCACAACTCCCGGAGCCCTCGAGCTCACCGCGCGCCGCAAAGCCCGCCCATCCACGGCTGGGCACAGGCAGCGCCACAACCCATCATAGATCAATCGACTACCGCGCATTGCGATCCATGTCTCCGTCTTCCGTACACTGTTTCGCAATGGTGCTGCAGAAAACTGTCTCCCGTGCTGTGAAATGCATCCAGGCAAAGAGTCGTGTCGTGGGTCCGAGCTGCCAAAGCAAAAAGGTAGTCGCAGCTCTGGCTCAGGTTTCCACAAAGCGGGGCGATGCATCTCGCGGGGCGCCTCGAACCAAACATCAACTCTCATCGACAACCACCTGGAAGAGCTGCCCTTGACCACTCTGCTTTGCAGCGCCAATAGACGCATTTCCCTTCCCTGCGCACCTAAACGCACGCCACGACGATTCCGTCGCTGCGCAACATCCCGCCATGGTTCGTCAATCGGCCTGCGCATCGCCGTCAACGCCCAAACGTGAGCTGGGCCATGGTACTAACTCTGCATCTGGACGCAGTTGCCCCTCAGTCTTCTCAACGCCGCCCAAGGGCATCCTATGCTCGTGGAGCTCAAAAACGGCGAGACCCTCAACGGACATCTGGTCCAGTGCGATACGTGGATGAACCTTACCCTACGAGAAGTTGTACAAACCAGTCCGGTGCGTCTGACCGTTCAAGAAAGCTAGGCATGGCGAGCAGCCAGAAGCTAATTATTGCGCAGCGCGGCGACAAGTTTGTTCGGTTAAAAGAAGCTTACGTCAAAGGCAACAATGTACTGCCCTTCCCCAGTCCTCCTCCGCCAACAGCAGACGTTGGGACCATGCCCAGAATGCGGCTAACCGTCTCAGATCAAATACCTCCGCGTCGACGACGACATTATCAATCAAGTGAGCGAATCCCAAAGGAGCCAGTCAGGGAGCTTCAGAGGCGGACGCGGTGGCCACGGCCAGCCAAGAGGGGACCACGGCCACGGCGGTCGTGGAGGTGGCGATAGAGGCAGGGGCGGACGGGGCGGCGGTCGTGGTGGAAGGGGAAGAGGCCGAGGCCAGTAAAATAGAGGGAATAGGAATTTGGATTGCAGAGATGAAATCATAGGTTTAATACCCAATGTTGTGTCTGGCCGGGTCACTCTTGCGGGAGACTCAGAGTCAGTCAAGAGCGTGTGCTTCCATACCCCAGTCATTATGGCTTGGTGCCAAAGGAACAGATAAACTTGGTTGAATATTGAGTGGTTCGATCGGCAGCTGTCAATGCCCTGCGGTTCTGCAAGGCAGCCTGGACAGGGATTCTGCTGATATGCGAGCAAAGTCCCCTTATGTTGGGAGTTTGTGTATTACTAGTAGTAAGAATTCAAAAACGCAAAAGAAAAAAAATGATGAAAAAGACACAATCAAGACGAATATTGATTTCATACTACATTATACCCGCGTTACTGTCTACTTCAAGATTCAGAATAAAACAAAAGTATAGGCTCTAGCATTCCCCCGTTTCCTTGTTTGCTGTGCATTCTCTGCCCAGTCTTTGCATGCATATAAAGCACCTAGTTGAATCAAAACAAGAACGTTCATAGTTAAAGAACTATTAATGTGCGCAATTATGCCACCCCATCATACAAAAGTGACTTCTTCACCATGCTCAATGCCGCTTTCAAAAGTTGGCAACGGCAACAGCAATGGCCTGATTGTCGGAGTGCGAGATGGACAGCGCAATATCCTTCACCCCGACCTTTTTGGCAGCGGAAGCAGCCTCACCATGCAGCTATAATCATGTTAGTCAACATTGGTAACTGAACAGTGTCTTTTGTTGGGAGTCACGTACTTTGACGGTGGGAGCACCGTTGTCATCCTTGACAATCTCAATCTCCTTCATGGAGGCGCCTGCACCCTTGCTGGCGACACCGAGGGACTTGAAAACGGCCTCCTTGGCACTCCAGCGACCGGCAAAGGAGCTCTGGGGGCTGGGAGCATCTTTACAGTAGCTGATCTCCTGAGCGGTGAAGTTGCGCTCCAAGAATGTCTCATTCTCAATATTGATGGCAGAGATGTCTTCCACATCGACACCAACATTGCTGTTCTTGTTGGCAACCTTTTGAGCCAGGGTCTTCATAACCTTTTCGGTTTCGGCAGCACGAGCAGAGGTCATGACCTTCTCGGACTGCTTCATGAAGTTGTCAGAGTATCTGAGCTCAGAAGACTTTTTATCTTCGCTCACACGGGCGTCAGGATTGAGCAACACCTTGCTAAGCTGCTCATCAGTGTAAGGAGCCTTGGATTTGGCCACAAACAGGCTGTTGTTGATGAGACCGTTGTGGAAATAGCGGTAGGCCTTCTTCTGACGGGCTTCCACCTTGGCGCAGTACTGCTGGTAGGTATTCTCGTCGAGGGTTGCAAATAGGTACTTCGGATGAATACCGATAGCCTGAGCACCCTTCTGACCGAAACCAAAAGAGGTAACAGAGAAAGCCTTGATACCGTCTGTCTGGATTGAACGGCTGGGATAGACAATCAGGTCAAACTCTTCCATGACGGGATCGACGTTGTCGGCATTGCGGTTGCCAGGTACTAAACCGGTGTTGAGAACTTGCAGACAGCCATTCATCATCCAGGCACCAGCAGCACCCTTGGGATGACCAGTGAGGTACTTCTGGAAGATACCCATGACGGCGTTGCCCTTAGATCGTCCGAGATGGCGTAGCTGCTGGCAAATAACAGACGACTCGTTCTTGTCGTTGGCTTTGGTCGAGGTGCCGTGGAAGGAGGCAACGTCCAGGTCGTCAATGGTAAGACCCCAGGTAGCCAGAGCGCCACGGAGAGGAGCAATGCTGGGATCGCTCTTCCAGAAATTGTTACCCATACTACGGAGCAGCTCCTTTTCTTGTCGAATAGCCTCTTTCTCGATGTGAGCAAAGCGTTCCTGAGCATAAAGCTTTTCATCAAAAGAGGCATCCTGGGCTTTCATGGCATCAATTTCGTCATGGATATATTCAAGCTCGGATTCATGCCACTGCTTAATCTGCTTCTTGCGGCGCTCAATCTGGCGGCGGCGGTAGTTGATGTCGAGTAGTGGTGAGGGGAATTTGCCAGCATGCTCGCGAGCAGTGGTGAGTACACCTTGGCCAGGAGCAGGCACAGAGCGACCAATCTTGTCAGAAGCAGTAGTGGTGAGAGCCAGGACACCATAGATAGGAACACCCATGTCCAGAGCGAGCTGGGCAGTCATGATGACCTGGATGCCGCAACCTTGGGACTCCATGAAGCCGTTACGGGTAGTTGTGGTGGGACGAGACATTTCCTTGGGAGTTCGGCCGTGGTTGAACTCGTCTACAGTGTTGCTGGTGGCCTTCATGTTAGCGAATTCGTAGGAACCTTCTTCGCCAAAGTCATCGAAACCACCGACAAAGCACACGCGAGCCTTGCCCTCCATAATGGTTTCATAACCAACATCGACGGATTCGACAGCGGTGGCGCAAGCACCGACAGGAGTCTTGATGGGACCAGAGGAAGAGATAAGCAACATGTTCACCCAGGCAGCCATTGTGTTGATGAAAGACTCCTGAAGAATATCGTTCTGAAGAGGCTTGTCCAGGAAGCGATCTTTGTGCATGCCTCGCAGAGCAGCTGAACCACCCATACCGGAACCAACACAGTTACCAACCTCCGAAACGTGGACATACTTGTAGAATTCATAGGGGTCAGTGATACCGGCCGATAATAGAGCCTCGGCAGTAGACACAAGAAGGAAGAGAGTGACAGGGTCGACTTGAGAAATAATGTCTTCGGGAATTCCATATCGCTTGGGGTCCCAACCGGTGGGGATTTGACCGGCAACGAGACGGTCAAAGCGGAGAGCCTTGGGGATCCAGAGAGAAGCCCCCTTTCTCATGCGAACAATATACTCGCCACTGTCAGGAATTTCAAAGATTTCAACCTTGTCGCCGTGCTCACGCTTGAACTCCTCGGCAGTCTCCTTGGAGGCTTCAAAAGGCTCCAGGTCTTCCTCAATGACAACTTCGTGAAGCAGCTGCTTTTGGTTGGGATCGTAGCCTTCAAAGAGTTCAGGCTCAATCAAACGGATACCAGAGTGCTCCAAAATGTGCTTCTCGTACTTCTGCTTGATGTCCTTGTCGTCAACAGGCTCACCAGACTTGGCATCGACCCAGCCAGAGTAAGGTTTGCCCTTGATGGCACCATTGTGGTTGCGAATGAGACCCATGATCCAAGCCATTTCAACGCAGCCCTCGAGGGAGAACTCTCCGTATGCCTCCATTTCCCATCGGGTACGAGAATTACCCCAAGGGCCGACTTCGGCAAAACCGGTAACAACAACCACCTTGTCCAGGTCGACCATGCCCCTGAGCTTATCGTTGAGAGGAGAAACATCGTTCTTCCAGTCAGGCAAGGGGGGGAAGTCAAACTTGATATTGGCGCGTGGTGCAATCGTCTTCTTCTTATATAGGACCTCGGAGTCGGCACCATTGACGATAGAGTTCTCGATGGCGCTTTCCTTTGAGACAGCCCTCCGAATTTCGCTAGTCTCCATAATGTCCTTGCGTAGCTTGGTCATAGCCTCGTTGAGGTTGGGGATAAACTGCAGGCCGCCGTTGAGATCAGCGAAGACTGGCTCTGCTTGGCAGAGATCGACAATGGTCGGTGACATAAGACCAAGCAGGTTGAAGGCCATTTCTTGCTGAGAGAAAGTGCGGACACCGAAAGCCTCAACGCCCTCAGCAACGATATTGTTGCCAGACATGAGCCCAGTTCCACGAGTCCAACCAATGACGGCACCACAAACAGTAAGGTAGTTGGCCCAGCTCTCAGAGTACCAACGGTTAAAGAGGGTCTCAAGAGCAAGCTTGGATTCCGAATAGAGACCGTCGTTACCAAATGTACCGTGGTTAGGGGATAGAGGAAGGACAACCTGAGCTGGACGAGTCTCAAAGCCACGCTCAGCTTTTTGAGTCTTGACGCAACCCAAAAGGCGGATGAGATTAGTGAGCATGATTCTGTGAGCTAGTTCAGAGCGAGAGTCAATGCCATCGATCTGGCGTCCAGCCTCGGAAATGGCAGCAAAAGGAACAATGTAGTCAAGGTCCCATCCGAGACCATTCTTTGGATCATAAATATACTCAACAAGAGCCTCCACATCCTGCTTGCTACCCTGGTTAAATGGGACTACAACAATCTGAGAGCCACGAGATCCGTATCGGGAGTACATAGACTGGTAGTACTCGGTGACCTCGCGAGAGAATCGGCTGGTGGTCACTACGACCTTGGCACCACCGCTGATGAGTCCTTGCAGGACTTCAGCACCAATTGATCCAGCACCAGCACCCGTCATGAGGACATGCTTGCCGTGGTAAGTTACACCATCCTTGGCGCTATCCTCAAGACAGTTAAGGTAGACAGCGGTGAGCTTCTTGCTGTAGTCCCAGCCGTGGAGAGTCTTACGCTTGAGGTGGAGGAAGGGAATGGTCTCAACCTTGCCCTTGTTCTGGCTAGTGCCACGGAGGCCACTCTTCTTGCCCTTGTTTGTCTCCTTGGGTAAGATCTGACTCTCATTCATGGCAAGAGAGCGCAGGACGTCGCCATACAAGCTCTTGATCTCAAGCTGAGATGTCTTCGACATCTTGTGCTGCTGCTTGATGAGCTTGTAAATGCGCTGGAGGTCGTTCTGAACCTTGGTACGGTTGCCATACTCAGAGATCTTGCCACCCTCGGCCATTTGCTGAACATAGTGCTCGAGCTTGCGGCAACTGGCGCGGGGAACTTCCTCGTAGTTGAGGTTGCCACGAGCGTCGACCGTCGTACGGGGACCAGTTGGAACGGCAACATCCTTGTATACCGGAGAGACGTCCAAGACCTCCTTGCAGTTCTCAATAAGCATCTGCCCTAGCTCCTTGGCGAGCTTGTATGTCTCTCCGCGGTCGGTGGGACAGTTATCAATGTGGTACTGCATAAAGTCCAAGAGTTTTGGGTTGGAGCGGTTCATGATGCGGATACACTGGCTGACAATCTCACGGTCGACGACCTGAAGGCGACCGAAAATGATGTCA